CGCGCGCGCGCGCACACACACACACATATCTACATACACATACAGACACATAATTATATAAATTATATAAACACCCAAACATTAAATAAACAAACAAAGAGTACAAATGAGTACACACCTCCGATCCAGTCCACAGCCAGCGACTCCGCCCCTGAGATGCCCTCCGACACAACAGTTTCGCGGCCACTGAGATCTCGCTTGATCCGGGAGATAAGACGCCGGTCACTGTCCACCCAGTAGATGTAGCCTTTCTCTGAGCACAAGAGTCGAGTGATTGTTTGAGTGGAGAAAGGCACATCGACACAGTAACAACCATTAACTTCACACCATAACTATCAGTAACAGGGGATAAAGCAGTCATTAACTTGACACCATAACTTTCATTAACAGTGAATAAAGCAGTCATTGACCTGAAACCATAACTACGAGTATCAGTCAATAAAACAGTCATTAACTTGACACTATAACTATCAGTAACAGTGAATAAAGCAGCCATTAACTTTGACACCATAACTAACCTCAACAGTGACTAAAGCAGTCATTAACTTGACACCATAACTATCATTAACAGTGACTAAAGCATTCATTAACTTGATACCATAACTACGAGTATCAGGCAATAAAAGTCATTAACTTGACACCACAACTTTTTTACTTGTAAGAGCTTTACTGTGCTCGCAGCAGCATAAGGTCATATGAGCACGCAAAACCCAAGTTGGATGTATTCACAACAATTCACAGCATGGCTTGGTTTAGGTCAATATTTCGATTTAAAGTGTTAAAAATTTGTGGTAAAATCTTGGTTTTAAAATAACACTTTATCTACTGAGTAATGGTCAGTAAAGCAATCCACAATTCCTGCAGCAAGATGCCCACTCCAGAAGCACTGACAAATTTTCAGACAACTCCTCATATCTGTTCTACCTTTAAATTCTAATTTTCCATGAGAGAATGCTAAGGCAAACTCGAAATACAGACTTCATCTCCAACTGCTGTTGCAAGTCTGGATGGCATGTTACTGTTAGTTACTGTTACAAAATTAAGGTGTAAAAACTATTGAAGCTGCCAAAGGCTCGGTCACAAGCTTTAAGCAATGTTTTCATAAGTAGGAAACACTACGCTATCAATTTATTATGTCTTCCTCGACACCATTCTCTAAACACATACATGTACAGAGACAAAACCCATACAGAAAATGCTGTAAGCAGATTAAAAGAAAAAGATAACTTTTCAACAAATAACACAATGAGAAAAATCAAGCGGATCAAGAAGACAGACAAAAGGAAGGAGTAGGATACCATAATCACCAATGTCTGCTCCAGACCCGACACCTGAAAATTTGAAATGCTAGAAGTTTAACGCACCTATCAACGCTATTAAGTTATTCAAGAAACAAGACCTCCAAGTTCAACATCCATCTCTGAAAGGACCGAGCCAAATGTAAAATTCACGTAAAAAGCCTTTCCCAAGTACGCAAAGTCGGACCAAGCTGAGACTTGAACCCCTGAACCTGCAATATAACAATTATGAGTCCGGCAGCCTATCCACTAGGCTGACACCTGAGAAAGAAGAAGAAGAAGATAGCAATCCAATAGAGTCTGGTAGGCACTCACTGGCATGGAAGTCCACCGAGGCAGCCTGTGATATCTTGGAGATGGGGGCCAGTGCACCTGTCTGGTTGATCAGTGTCAACCCATGGATCTCCGAAGCTTGGGAAAAGAGCAGGAACGTGTCGATGCCTGTGAGGAGACAAGAGGGACACAGATAAGCCCTAAGGTTTGATTTGGGTGAAGAAAGGCACATTGTCACTTTAGCAGTCAGTAGGTAGGTAGGTAGATAGGTAGGTAAGTAGGTACATGGGTTGGTATATACGTGCAGTCTAGCACGCACATAGCAAAAATATACATAGCCATACACGCTCAGAGCTAACGGACTTTCAGACCTCCAATTTTTTCTTGCACATGTACATTCTTTTTATTTAAAATATCTACATAGTGAAAATCGTACATAATAAAAAAATTCCTCCATCTCGTCAATTTCATTCCATGCATGCTAAACTGTACACCCCTCCACTGACTTACCTTTACAAAAGTTGCCGTCGGCCCAGTAACCCAGGGTACACGCGCACACCCGCCCGCCACCAGAGGGCAGACACAGCTGTTGACAGCCACCATTGTTCTTGGTGCAGTTGTTCTCCTCTGAAATAGCGACAAACAAAAATTCACTAATAATGAGAAATTGTATGGCTGGGGGGAAGGGCGGCGGGGGAGGGG